TTTTTTTTTTTTTTTTTTTTTTTTTTGATTGAGAAATCTCCTTTGCTCTCTTCAAATGAAAATGAAAAATTTCTAGCATAACAGAATAGTAGAATAAAAATTGAGAAATTTTTCTAATTTCTCAGTTTTCAGAGGATTGGCAAACAGATTGAGATGAAAGTTGTGAAAAATTGTGAGAGTTTGGCGGAGAGTTTGCCAAGAATTTCTAACGAAAAATCGATGAAACATTCAAACTGGAATGAAAAATTGATGGAACGTTCAACCAGAAGCTGGCCAAATGTTCGAGGTGAAAATTGGAATGAAAATTCGATCCAATTTCGAAAGTTGGCAGGAGCTTCGAGACGATAAATTCGCGGCAATTATCAATTAAAGTAAGGTATTTTTCTTCTTCTTTTTTTTTTTTTTTTTTATTTATTGATCCCGGAAAATTGTAAATTGTTAAAAATCTAAGCGCCAAGTTCGCAGAACTTCCCTAACTGAAAATTGACAAAACTTCAAAATAAGAATTCGTCGAACTGACCAAGGAATTGGCAAAAAAATTTCCCCCCAAAAAAAATTTCAAAACTCTCGAGAAAGTTGGAAAACTTCAAACTCGCGAGAATATGTAAAATCGTGTGATAGAACAGTTCTAAATCAATGCTACTACCTTTTTGTCGATGTTAATGCTCATCCGGACGTTCCACGAATGGTTCTCGAGAATTTTCAATCATGCACGCCGGCCAGCTGTCCTGAAAAGCATCGAAGGAAAAATGGAGGATGAAGAATCGCGCAGGGCGATTTGAATGAGACCCGCCTCTCCGGTGATGTAGGCCGGAAGTCGTCGATTCCCGGCAAAATGATTCCGACGGAACACGCCTCGAGGCACGAAAATGATGTATCATTGTGCATGCTCGACGCTGGTCGACCACCGAATACCGAACTTGTCTGCGTTCATCAGTGTAACGTGGACTTTCGGCATCGAGAGTTTGCCGTCTGTTGTTTTTTTTTTTTTTTTTTTTTCCCACGTGTTGTTGTTGGTGTCGCCTTGTTGATTCATGCAGACTCGCCTCGTGTGTCAGTACGAGTCACTGTCAGAAATAGAGGGAGCACCTCTCTATCTTCATCGCCCCATTTTATTGTCCACGAATCGCCATTCTTTCTATTTCTGTGACCGGGCTTCTGCGTATGGAATCGTCGTTCTCTCAAATAACAGCTTTGTTTCATTATCACAATCTATATATTGAAGAGACTGCGGACTTTTATACAAGTTCAGGTGTTCTTGGGAATATAATAGTGTAGAAAGGTGGAAACTCGATTTCACAGAAAGCACTGTATTTTGTTTCTTTTTTTTTTTATATTTGTGTCGGGCACATTTTGTGCAATGTTGCGCTATAAAGTTTCCTATAAATAAAACGCAGCAATTTTTTTTATTAGTTATTTGATGACAGACTAAATATTTATTTCTTGCGGATAGAATATCCAGTGTGTGAGAAAGAGAAGTAAAGAAATAGCTTGCACAAGGTTTTTCCAGCAAAATTATGTAAAGAACTTGAAACATTTTTCGAATTTCTGTCTCTGTGGAATTTTTATTGATAGTGTAATATTGCACAAGAATTTATTTAATAACTGACAATATTAGTATTTTGACGACTCCTTACTGATGTTAACTCAATTGTGAAACAAAAGTCTAGATATTTGAAAAGATATGCATAAACGTATAAAATTTTTAAACCAAAAGATCCATACCTATTGTTATTTCCTTTTGTGCTTGTTTTCTTCTTTGTATTTACAACTTTGAATGTTAAACTCAGTTTAGAAGTTTGGAAGAAGAACTCTAGTACTATTACTATTATTTTGTTAAAATTTGACTGAAATTTCATCGCAGAAACGACATTTCATATACACTAGCCTGACATCTCATCGTCACGATGCTTCTGATTCCTCTATACTATACTTTATTTTCCATTTTTTTATTTTTCTACAATTCTCGGCAGTTTCTACGTGTACTTTACAAATTCTACCCAAGAGATCCAAAGGCAGTTATCGAAATTGAAATTTGAAAACGAGTTGCATCTTTTCTAAAGTCGCGAGACTTTGGAAATAAAAAATCAAACGATACACTGACGAAATTTGGAATGCCTCTTCCAAACAGACACAGATTAAAATAAAAGTCTCGACTCTGACACAGTGATATGCAAAAGCCCCTGGATGGATTCTTTATGGTTCCAAGAATTTCAATCAATGTTATGTTCATTCGTTTAGCAATTTTTTTTTACTTACCTATACTTGGATATCAAAAATCTGGATAACTTGTTTGAATTCTTAAAATTCTAACTGCATGGTGGTAATAATAATAATAAAGTGAAAATATAATTAATAATAGTAATAAGGTAAAGTACAATACTTAACACTAGCTAGTGGTATAATACAAAGTTAATGTTATACTTTAGTAGTGTAATAAAATGAAATATAATTAATGCTCTTATATCAAAAATCTAGATGATCTAAATTCTTCAATAATATTATAATAGCAATAGCAATAAAATGAAGTGTAATAGTTAATAATAGCCAGTTGTTGTTAACAGTATCATATGAAGAAAGAAATTAACATTATAATAGTCGTAGTAACAAAATGAAATATAATTAATAATAGTAAATAAAGTGAAAGAAGTCTATCTAGAAGCATTTGCATACCACGACATTCCAATTCGACTGAGATCAGATTGGAAAATCAACCAAAATTCCCCAAGTTGATTGGCCAGGATACATTTACCAGCAATTGCTTGTCGAACGACTCAACAGCGACCAATAACGAGGATTGAAAAAAA